ATTATATCTATTTTAGCAAATATACCCTTGTGCTCATGAGTAAGAAAAAGGAAGAGTAGGAGAGTTGATTTTAACCATAACCTAATTTTTTATCTCATATATTTAAGATAAATAAGGTATATAACTCTTTTTTCTAACTTTATAATTCATCCTCCATTTGAGGTTGTATACCTAATTCTGGTATTTTACTTCAAAAAAACTATTTTGAACATCTTTAGACCTGACTGGTGGATCTTACTATGGGACTTTCAGTTGGGCCTTAGTTGCAACAGCATTATTCCTCGCCAAGGACCTCAGGTCTTCATGTGTTTTCTGCACCTACAAAGGAACAATTGGCAAGAATATGGCTTGTCTCTAGAAATTTAAGGACATTTTTAGAAATCTATCACATTTGATATATTTCTTTTAGCTTTATTTTTTTTAATTTTTATGATCAGGGAAATTTTTTCACAGAAAAGATAATATCAAGAAGACCAATTCTCAGAAGATGGCAACATCTGAAAATATTGATTTAATGAGCAAATGAAGATATATCAGCATTACCTTAGCTTAAAAGTAAAATAATGTTCAAACAAGCATTAAATCAAATATAGTCCTACCTGATATCTTCTTAAAGAATATGCTAATATATTCTGTTTCTTAAGAATTTAATGTCATTATAATTAAAATGAAATTGTTAAAAAAACATAAAACCTAATGGCATTTAAATATTTTTTGTACTTTAAATTTAAATGTAGGTGAATTACTTAGCAATAAAACATTCATCCTAGTGATTACAGACTATTAATGAGAGTAGACTAATTTATTTTCTTCCATGTATGTAAAATGTGGCTTTGGTATGAAAAGCTGGCTAACTGAAAAAATAACAAGCTATGCTTATCTTCCATCTGTCAGTTTGTTTTGCTTGTGTGTTGCTGTGAGGTTAGAAGCTATGCTACCAGGGACAGGATTCAGCAGAGCTTCCAGACTCAGATTGGGAAGAAGGATGGTGTCATCCACTTCTCAAAAAAAAAAAAAAAATGCCACTGAAAACTTTATGAATGGTGTGATATTTTACTGGAAAATTTTATGAATAGCAGGAAAACATTGCCTTATAGGGCTGTAAAATGAGCCCCTCAGGTTGGAAGGTACTCAAAATATGACTGGGCAAAAGATGCTTCCTCAAAGTAGAGGTGACTTAATGATGAGGGTGGAGTGAAGTTTTCAGGACCTTTATTTGTTGATATGGCATGACTCAAAATGAGAAAAAAACAGCTGCAACCATGTTTTAACAATCAAAATGTGTAATATAAGAAGCATAAATCTTGGAAAATTATAAATGTTCAAATCTGAAATAGAATACATAAAAATCAATATACTAGGCATTAGTGAGCTGAAATGGACTGTTATTGGCTATTTTGAATCAGAGAATTATATGGCCTATTATGCCAGGAATGACAAATTGAAGAGGAATGAGATAGTGTTCAGGGTCAAAGAAAATATGTCCTGTTCTATCTTAAAGTACAATCAATACTGTCAATGATAAGTTAAAATTCATATGCTTACCAGGAAGACCAGTTATTACTACTATTATTATTCAAATTTTTATCCCAACAACTAAAGCCAAAGATGAAGATTTGAAGTTTTTACCAACTTCTACAGTCTGAAATTGACCAAACATTCAATCAGGGTGTACTGATAATTACTGGTGATTGGAATGTAAACATTGGAAACAAAGAAGAAGCAGTGGTCATTGGAAAATATAGACTTGGGAACAGAAATGGTCCCAGAGACCACATGATAGAATTTTGCAAGACTAATGACTTATTCATTGCAAATGTCTTTTTTTTTTTCAACAACATAAACAATGAATATACACATGGACCTCACCAGAGAGAATATACAAGAATCAGATAAACTATATCTGTGGAAAAAGGTGATGAAAAAGCTCAATTTCATCAGTCAAAACAAGACCAGGAACTGACTGTGGAACAGACCATCAACTGTTAACGTAGAAGTTCAAGTTGAAGCTGAAGAAAATTTAAACAAGTCCAAGAGAGCCAAAACATGACCTTGATTATGGAATTTATCTCTAAATTCCACCTGAATTTACAGATGATCTGAAAAACAGATTTGATGTCTTGAGCATCAATAACCAAAGACCAAATGAGTTTTTGGATGGCAACAAGAACATCATAAAAGAAAAAAGCATAAAGTCATTGTGTTAGGCTGGGTTCTCTAGAGAAACAAAACCAGTAAAGCTTATATAGAAAGAGAAATTTATCTTAGGAAAATGGCTCACACACTTATAGAATTTGGCAAGCCCCAAGTTCTTGGATCAAACATCAAGCTGGAGGCTTTTCCCAACTCACATAGCTGCAGAGGCTGAGGATCTCAAGGTTGACAGCCAGTATACTGGCTGATGTGTCCAATGCATGATGAATCCAAGATCTTCAGGCCTAAAGGTGGACTGTTTGCTCACAGACAGTTGTAGGCAGAATCCTGATCCACAGATGAGTGTCTCTTTTCCCAGGATGTCTATAAATATACTGGAAGCAGGCCAAAACCTTAAAGAAACTCTGTTTCAATAGGTTGGCTGCTCAAAACATATACATCTCATCCCATCATTGGAACCACCCACATCACAATTGCTTAAACCACACAGAATTGTGGTTCAGTCAAGATGACACACTGCTCCAACTATCACAGTCTACCCCTTGTCAACTTGGCAGTTGTACACATCTTATTAACCATATATCATCTCTAAATAAGGACAATTATAAAGTCATATTTACACCTAACACAATACACTAACACACTAACATACGTACAACTGAAGCACATTAACCTAATTTACATTTCACAGTTCATAATAGAAGGAAACAAAAATATTTGATGCACATATACAATGAAGAAATATAACAATCACAGTCCTTGTTTCTGCAACTGGTCACTTGGTCATAGCTGATATTCACAACTCTTTCTTCTACCACCCATTCTGTATTTCTCTTGCCCTCAGCAAGTACCTCAGCTGGTCATGGTTCTTTGCCTGATGGGGTGACCCAAACCTTCATTCCTGAAGGGTCTGGGCCATTAGCAGTCATATCAGAATTGGCTTGCTGTAATTTTCCATTGACTTAATCACCCGGCATGGTAGTACTGAGACATCCTAAAGAATCTCCTGTATTCCAGACATGTTCTTCTTTACCTCCATTTTGTAATGTCAATCCAATTTCCCCTTGGTAATCAGGATCTAACACAACAGATAATACAGCAATACCCTTCTTTATCTGTTGATCCAGAGGCATGAGGAAGCAAAAATGGTTGGATTGCATTCTTAATTTCTAGTTCAATGCAATCAGTATTATGTCTCAAGATGGGAGTGTTCCTTCCTTTGGGAGTAAGATCTCCAGACCCACAGAGCATAGGGTAGCAGGGACAGGAAGCAAAATTTTTTTCAGTGGGTCTCTAGGGGTAATAATGAGTAGTACCACTCCCATTTCCACCCCTTGGTTCCTGGACCCATGAATCCTGCCTACTGGAGAAACAGAACCATATATTGGATGCTGGTTTAGAGCATATACAGCCTCCCAGAGAACATTGCCCCACCACTTCAAGGGCACCTAGCTGGCCCCGTAATTGTGTTTTCCGTAGGCAATTCAATCATTCTATCAAGACAGCTGCTTCAGGATGATGGGGAATATGCTAAGACCAGTGAATTCCATGATCATAGGCCATTTGCTGTGAAGTGAGTCCCTTGATTTGAAGCAATGCTCTGTGGGATACCATGAGGGTGGATAAGGCATTCTGTAAGTCCATGGATGGTAGTTTTGGCAGAAGTATTGAGTGCTTGTTGTTGTTATGTGCCATCAAGTCAGCCCCAACTCATAGCAACCCCTCCTTGGATTTCTGAGGTGGTATCACTATGGAAGTAGATTGCCCAATCTTTCTTCCAAGGAGTGTCTGGTGGGTTTGAACTGCCAGTCTTCTGGTTAGCAGTCAAGGGCCTTAGGCACTACACTACCAGAGCATTGCATACAGGGAAGGTGAATCCATATCTAGAGTAAGTATCTATTCCAGTAAGAACAAAACACTGTCCTTTCCATGATGGAAGTGCTCCAATGTAATCAATCTGCCAACAGGTTGCTGGTTAATTACCTGGAGTAATGTTCCATATTGTGGACTCAGTGATGATCTGTGCTGCTGGCAGATTG